ACAGGAAACAGTGAGAGCAGCATTTATTAGCTGTAATAAGGAATCCCGCATCTGATTCAATGCGTTTTTTATGAGCATTAATATGATTCAAAACGACTCCAAATTTACAAGTTTCAATGGTGAAATTCAGTGTTGATTACAATCGTATCTTACAGGTTGTTATAAGCAAAATATCTTCCAGGAATTCATACCGTCTAATGAGGAACCACAGATCCGATTACATTGAATCCTCATTGAATGTATGTGGAATGAAATATTTGAAAACCAATGAGATTGTATAAGACATCACTATCCCAATATGCAATGAATTTCATGAGTTTTCATAAGACAATTGATTTTCGAGAATTCACGGAACCAAATGGCATTGGTTTCTTGTGAGTTATTTTTTATTTTGAATTATTGAGGAATCAGAACTTCGATCAATACTGAGCTATCCTGGAAGATGTCATGAATGTTCTTATTTCAGTATATTTCAGGATTTTGATAGGTTCATATAATCGATGAGTCTTTGTATCCGTAATCAAATTAGGAACGCACGATGTTCTTTGAACATAATAGGGATTCCCTTTCGTGCGCTCCAAGCGATAATATATATATATTTATATATATATATATAGTAGAAGGCATGAATTTGAAAAATGTCTAGTTTTTCAGTAGATTTTTCATCGATGGGCCTTGTGAATATGTGGCACCATGCATTGTCCATATCACAAATTTTCATATTGACCTTACTGCCGACACAATGTTTTCTCATACACTAGTTTCAATATTCCACCAACATTAAAGATCTACCAATATTCAGCAATATTTATTGTCTCTAAAAGATGTGGACCTCATTAGTAGCTGGCTATGAAAACAGAGCGAGTGTAGAATGTTTTTAAATCCTTGCCACCTCCCTGTCGAATTCACAAATTTTTCATACGATAGCGAATACTAATCCAGGATACAAAAACTAGAAATGGTTGTGATATAAAATGAGTTGGTTTCAAATTTTTGTGGTTCTGATATCCTGGATTATTATTCGCCGCTGTATGAAAAAATTGTAAATTCTACAGAGGTATGTGACAAATATTATAAAACATTCTGCACTCGCTTTTTTTCATAGCCACCTACTCGTTAGGTCCACAGCTTTTATATTCAATAAATACTGCTGAATATTGGTGAATGTTTATTGTTGGTAAAAATTGAATCTAGTGTGTGACGAAACACTGTATCAGCAACAAGGCAAATATGAAAATTTATGATATGGACAATGTTGCCAGATATTTACAAGTTCAATCGATGAAAAGTCTACTGAGAAACTAGAATTTATCAGAATGTTGGGCTGAGACTAGAAATATCTCATAAGTTGTATATTTTTGAAAAGCGAAAAGCATCAATGTTTCAAATGAGGAAAAATATGCGTGATGTTCCATTTGAAAAAACATAACTTTGGATTGATTATATCTGGATAATAGCAGCTTATTCTGAAATTCTGATTATGCCACTGGATTCTACGTGAAAAAATGTATGACAAACACTTTCGACTTTTTCGATGAATTGGGAGATGGTTGAGATACAAGAAGGGTCCCGAAATGCAGCATTTTCAATTTCGCCCTGTATCTCAAAGAGGCAGCGGGCTACAAAAACTTGGTTAAGGGTATCGTGAGTTTCACTAAAAAGAAGCCCACGTTTGCGAAAATGGAAAATCTCTATTTTAGAAAATAAATGAGATACCTATCCCGTTATGACATCGAAAATGGGACAGCCTGTACAGGGTATTCACGAATATTTAGAACCCCTACTCAACTTTTTTATGTATTGTCAATTTCATTTATCCAAGAAACTTTCTTCAATACTCTTCCTTTAAATTTTCAAATTTTATATATGCCAATGAAAAAACTGACTATTTTTTCAAAAGTTCAACTGTTTTTCTGTTGATTTATACAGAAAAAATATGAGAGATCGTTCTTGGAAACAAAATCGAATGATACATGAAAAAATAAGCAGGGGTTCAGTACAAAATACTGAAGAACTGTCAATAGTAACTCTTAATGAATAGATATGTTGTACTCATTTCAAACTAATCAATGCCACGCTGTTTCAATTAAGACTTCCAATTAGGAACTGATGATAAGTGTATATGCACAACAGAGTTATACATCAGGAATTGATCATGAATATACCTGCAGAACGCATTTCAAACCCATAAATGCCACTGTAGTACAATGAGAAACTCTGATCAGGAACTGATTATGAATGTATCTGCAGAACACAGTTCATACTAATAGAGTTAATATGGAATTTCTATGAGGAACTGATTATGAAAGTCTCTGCAATAAACATTTCAAACTCATAAATGCCACTGCATTCCGATAAGGAGTTCTGATCAGGAACTGATTATAAATCTATCTGCAAATCAGAGTTCATATGGAATTGCTATGATGAACCCATTATGAATGCATGTATCTACAATACACATTTTGAACTCATAAATACCACGGTATTTCAGTGATAAATTCCGATTAGTGACTGATTATGAAATGTATCTGCATAACAGAATTCATACTCGTAGATCTCATATGACTGTGCTATAATAAGCTATCTATGAATATATCTGCAATACACACTTTGAACTCATAAATGCCAAGGTATTTGAATAAAATACCGAATAGGGACTAATTATAATTAATGTATCTGCAAAACAGCGTTTATTGTCATACACTTCGAAAGAAATTGCTATTAGGAACTGATTATAAATGTATCTGTGAAACACAGATTATACTCATAGAGTACGTGAAAAACTGCCAATAGGAACTCATTATGATCGTTCCTGTGAAACACATTCCAAACTGATAAATGCCACGGTAATTCAATGAGAAATTCCAATTAGGAAATGATGATAAGTGTATCTGCAAAACAGAGTTATACTCTAAGTGTTCCTGAGGAATTGCTATTAGGTATTGATTATGAATGTACCAGCAGGATACTTTTCAAACTCATAAATGCCACTGTGCTCCAATAAGGAATTCCGATTAGGAATTGATCATGGATGTTTTTGCAAGACAGAGTTTATACTAATAGAGTTCATACGGAATTGATATAAGAAACTCATTCTGAATGTATCTGCAACACACATTTCAAACTCATAAATGCCATGGTATTTCAATAAGAAATTATAATAAGGAACTGATTGTGAATGTATCTGCAAAACAGTTTATACTAAAAAATTCCCATTATAAATGTATCTGCAATACACATTTTCAACTCATGAATGCCACGGTATTTCAATGAGAAATTCCAATCAGGAACTGATTATTCATGTATCAGCAGAACAGAGTGCATACTCAAAGACTTCGAAAAGAATTGCTATTAAGAACTGATTATAAATGTATCTGTGAAACACAGCTGATACTCATTGAGTACATGAAGAACTGTCAATAGAAACCCATCATGAATGTACCTGTCAAACACATTTCGAACTGATAAATGCTACGGTGTTCCAATGGGGAAATCCAATTAGGAACTGATGATGATTGCTATAAGGGACTCATTATGAATGTATCTGCAATACACATTTCAAACTCATAAATGCCACGTTAATTCAATAAGAAATTGCAATTAGGGACTGATTTCAAATGTATCTGCAAAACAGAGTTCATACTCATAGATTTGCTATTAGAAACTCATCATGAATGTATATGCAGAACACATTCCATTCTCATGAATGCCACAGTGTTTCAATGAGAATTTGCCATCAAAATCTGATTATAAATGTATCTGTAAAACATAGTTCATACTCAAAGACTTCGTTGGAAATTGCTATTAGGATCCGGTCATGAATGTACATGCAGAACACATTTCAAAATCATGAATTACGATGTTTTAATAAGGAATTGCCATTTAGAACCGACTATGAATGTATCTGTGAATTACAGTTCAAACTCATCGACTCCATTGAGGATTGCCATTAGGAACTGATTATAAATGTAACTGCAGAATACATTTCGAGCTAATAAATTACTGTTTCACTATCCAACTTGACTCTGATATATTCTCATATATGAATAACCAGGAATTACTAGTAGGAACTGATTATGAATATATCTGCGAAAAACAGTTCATACTTTCAAGAAGAAGGGAGAGAATCGCCATTAGAAACTGATTATATATGGATCTGCAAAATACATAGGATTATACGGAATTACTGTTTCACTATCCAACTTCATTCTCATTGATTCTCATATATATTTTTTTATAAGTTTCTATGAGACATTTTTGGCAGGGTACACGTATATTGAAATAATATTCATATTTTTATTTTATAGAAACGAGGAGAGAAAATCCCAAAAAATTTGGAATAATAGGTTTCGAGTAATTCAGCAAAATGTTTTAGTAGAAACCAAAATTGAATAAAAAAAAATAATTATGTTGCAATTATTTCTATGATTACAAACTTAAACAATAATGTATTTTATACCGTTGGAAAGCCTATTTTCTCTTCATCAATAATCACTAATGATATTGGTGAATATTCTAATACAAACCCGAGTTACACAGGGAAATGTAAAAGCTTGCCACAAAACTATGGCGGCCATATTGATTGTGTCATCAACGCCGCTAGAGGGCCAGAAAAATTTGTGTCCCGGGCTTTTTCAACGCGTCTACTCATGTACTATCTGAATCTGAAACGGCGCATTGGTTGCCAGATGTGAAATATTTTGGTAGAATTTTTAGTTAACCGACCCCACTATTCACCTAATGTTAACTTGCTATCATAATTTCTCCCATTGTATTCTGATTCTGTCGAAATAAACATTATTATTATATTGTGGGCAGTGTTAATCCATGACTTATGGGACACCCTGTGTAGGTCGTGCAGAAACTATTTTTTTCATATGTACCCATTGAATTTTGTTCATTATTATTGTCACTTGTCCCCCCCCCCCTTTCCCCCCTTCCCCACTTATTGGGATCATTTCTGCGGAAGCCCCTCGTTAAGGTGAATACACTATAGATACCTCATCTGTTCCCCATCCCAAAAATCTCGCCTTTGCAGACTGATGTAACTGTCCATGTTCAAGTAAATGCAATGGATCCACACTGACTGGAAACGGCGATTCCACTTGGAGAACCAACAATTTACAGTGTGCACAATGTTCTGATACATTCATGCGGAAGTGATCTACCACGTATCGTACTTTCCGACCTCCTACCCACGTCATGGAGTCAAATTTCACTACAGCTCTACTAAGATCCTTTTCATTGAAAGGAAAACGGACACAATCGTCGCCGGTCAAAACTGAAAAAAAAAACAATGTGATTAGTTGGGCAGAGAGAGAGAGAGAGAGAGAGAGAGAAAACTTTTGAATTTTTTCCCCAGTCCCCCTGGGGAACACTTTACTCGTGTGTTTTTTCATAAAATCTTGCGGACTGGGTATTTTTGAGGGTCGAATCATCTCAATTTCACCATAAATCGATATATCTCATGAAAATACACGATGAAAACTTTCTGAATTTTTTCCCCAGCCCCCCTGGGGAGCACTTTGCTCGTGTGTTTTTTCATAAAATCTTGCGGACTGGGTATTTTTGAGGGTCAAATCATCTCAATTTCACCATAAATCGATTTATGTTAAAATTGAGATGATTTGACCCTCAAAAATACCCAGTCCGCAAGATTCTATGAAAAAACACAAGAGTAAAGTGCTTCCCAGGGGGGTCATAGAAAAAAAACTGACACTTCTCATCGTGTATATCGGTGAGGTGAATCCAGATATGCAATAAAAACATCGAAAAGTTTGATGGAAATAGCCAGTCCGCAACATTTTATTCCAGTCCACAAATTATACACACCCGGTCACGGGTTTTCTGTCGCGCGAATTAGGCATCTGCAGCTGACGTCACAGCCTGTAAGGTCATTTGCTTGGAAGGTAAGCAAACCATGGTCGTATATGCTATTAATATGTTATTAATATGCTATTTCCTAGTTGAAATTACGCCAGTCGGGCAACGCACCAATCCCGTATGGGAATTTCAGTTTTGAAGTGTTTCTTTCCTTCTATTCTTTTCATCAGATGGCGTTGCTTTCATATCGTCTATAAAAGATGCCTCTGGGGAAATATAATGTCTACTTGAGTTTTGTTTGGCTAGGCAGGCTACGCTTAGTCGGCGGTCTTAGGACTGCTGGTTGGAGACTGCCCTGCACTGATGAGAGTCAGAGAGCTAGAAACCGCTCCGTAGGTGTCTAGCGTGGCATCCAGGAAAGAATCACCTGTAGCAGTATTCGTTTATATGAGTCGATATGTGGATATGACTTCTAGATTTTTATATTTATTTAACATTTTATTCCACTTTGAGCATTGTGGCTATTTCGTAGTTGCTATTAATTAATGTGTTTTGATTTTTCTTCAAAGTTCCATTCCAGTTTCGATTAACTTTGTTCTCGAAAAATTATAAATGATGGTTCAATGGACTCAGAGATAATACAGGGTGTCCCTCTGGGAACTGCATCGATCAATATATAGAAAACCATAGGTGAGCCGAATTTGAAAATTTGGTAGTTCACTATTGTTGATAAGTGTTATCCGGCTGAAATATTTTGAAGATTGTGGTACTTCCGGTTGGTCCGGAAGTGGACCACCACTTCGTTATTTCAAATGGAACACCCTGTATTTTATTGCATTTTAAGATTCTTACTGAAGAGCTGATTTAATCAATGTATCACACTCATCGGTGTCTATCAGGAATGATTACAGAGATATAACGTCGCCGATCTGACAATACCTGCTAAGTAACATTTTTTTCGAATATTGGTATTTCATGCAGTTATAGCTTTCAATATTCATTGCGCACAATCTGAAATCAACTGCTACCTCCAGATGAACCCCCTCGGCCTTAGATTTGGCGTCTAAGGCCAATATTTCCTCCATTTGCCTGGATAACCTTGTCAAATTCTGGAGATATCTCTCATTGGCGTCCACGTCGCGAGGGGGGGGCTTTGGGAAACGGCTACTAGCTGCTTCGCAAAGGCTAACAATGAGAAAAGTCACCCAATCCTAAGGTGGAGTGGAACCCGTGCCGATGGGATGCGTGGTACATGGGAGATGTGCAGACAACGAGCCCTCCAGAGAACCAGGCGAAACTCTGGAGTAAACAGCCTTGCCTCAGTAAACGGCTCTGCTGAGGTCGACCAACACATCCGCATTACTCGTGGGAACCATATGGAAAACCAAAAACAAAATAATGACGAACCTGCCCATCTGATGGAGGTTGAGGGGACACCATCCTCATCTTCATTGGATGCAGAGAATAGGCTTCTGGAGGGCGACTCTTCTGGAACGGGAACTGAGGCACATCAAACCTTGGTTACTGTGGAGGAAGAGCGCATCCTACAGGAGCTGATGGAGTCGACAGAGGAAGGGGAGGAATCTGGGGGCAGCCGTGAGCAGCCACCGGTTCCAAACCCTCAGGATCTGCCGGACACGAAAGTGAAGATGTCTGGAGCGCAGCGCAGGAAGCTGGCGATCCAGGCGGCTATGGCTCGTGGGGACCCGATCATTCCTAGGAAGCCTAGGTCAAATCGGAGGCCCACGAAAAAACCTCAAGCACTGGTGGCCGTAAATCCATCATGTCTTAAGAGACCAGACAAAACCATCTCCACAACGGGAAGTGGGAAAGTCTGCGAGGCCGCTGGAAAGAGGGGGAGATCCGAGACCAGCACACCTTCGCCGCTCCTTAAGAGGAGCAAACAGAGTGTCTCTGCGGGACCTTCTGTAACTAAACCCATCAGTACACCAACTGGAGGCAGTTACAGTAAGGCCCTGACCTCCTTTAAGATGGCAGTGACTACGGGCAACTATCCCGAAGACAAGCTATCTTTGGAGCAGGTGAAGCAAATCCAGCTTCTCATTACGAGAGAGATCTGGAGATGTGAGCCAGGAACTGGGCCTCAATTCGCAGGCAGCTACCCTCAATCGGGGGTGCTGATCCTAACCTGCGAAAATGAGGAATCCAGAGAATGGCTCAAGCGGAAGGTGCCTACGCTGAAGCCTTGGGAGGGGGCCGCCCTTAGCGTCGATGACGCTAATAAGGTGGTCAAAACTCACAGGGCTGTGGTATGGGTGCCAACCGAGTTCCTGGACGCCAAGGAGCCGGCTAGGATCCTACAGCTCCTGGAAACCCAGAACAAGGGCATTAAAACAGGAGACTGGAGGATTATTTCCACCAATTCCGACAAACAAGGAATTACCCTTGTTCTTGGAATTGACGACCTCAACCTGAAGGAGTTGGCCAAGAGAGGCTTCAAAGCCTACCTAGGCCTGTCCCAACTTACCTTCAGGGTGGTAAGTAAAAAGAGCGCCGAAGATGCTGCAGGTCCTTCAAGTAAACCTGCAGCATAAAAAGGCTGCGACTGCTGCCTTAGTGAGGTACCTGTCCCGAGGCGAAGCTGACATAGTCCTGATACAAGAGCCCTGGATTCACGGGGGACGAGTCTCAGGACTGGGAGAAGCCAAGGGTAAGGTAATATACGATCTGACGGCAGGGAATGTGAGATCCTGCATTTTCGTTAAGAACGAGCTACACGCATTAAAACTGCTTGATTTCTGTTCTAGGGACCAGGCAGCAATTAGGCTGAAAATACGTATGGGAGGAATCTGGACGGAAATCATAATAGCCTCAGTGTATCTGCCATACGATTCTATCGGGCCACCTCCGTCAGCAGAACTGGAGAGGCTAGAGGAGTACTGCAGGCTTTCAAACCTACAGCACATCTTTGGCATTGATGCCAATGCTCACAGCACAGCTTGGAGGAGCAGCGACACAAACAGAAGGGGTGAGTTCCTATTAGATTACATAATTTCTAAGAATTTAGTTATAATGAATCGCGGGAACGAAGCAACTTTTGTTACCAAAACTCGTAAGGAGATCATTGACATAACCCTGGCGTCTTCTAGAATAAGCTCTCAGGTAACTCGGTGGCGTGTATCTGAGGAACCGTCCTTGTCGGACCATAGGTATATCTGTATGGAAATTTCAGATACTGAACACCCGACAGAAGCCTATCGAAACCCGAGAGGTACGAACTGGGAGAAATTCAGAGAGGACTTAACAATAAACCTAGGAAACGTCAAGAAGATTATCAAAAACGGCACTGATGTAGAGGTAGCCTCCTGTCAGTTGCAGGAGGCAATAATATCCTCATATCAGGACAACTGTCCTTTGGTAAGGCGCAACAGCAGCAAAGACGTTAGCTGGTGGAACGAAGAACTTAATACGCTAAGAAAAGAAACACGCAAACTTTTCAATAAGGCGAAGAAAACTGGGGAGTGGGGGCAGTATTCCATCACTCTGACCAATTATAATAAACAGATCCGTAGGGCGAAAAGGGAGTCGTGGAGGCGTTTCTGTGGAGAGGTGGAAACAACCTCTGAAGCAGCACGCCTCCATCGAATCCTAGCCAAGGCACCTGTTAATCCTATGGGGAATATAATGAAACCTGACGGGAGATATACTGAAACTGGCAGGGAAACTCTGGAGATTCTACTTCGGGCTCATCTGCCAGATTCGGTTGAAATTGAAAACGAAAATCTACCAGACCCACTAAACCCTCACATGAGGGCTGCTGTTGGGGACTGGCGGGTATCGAAGAAGATTGTTGACCACAGTAAACTGCTGTGGGTCATAGAAACTCTTGAATCCTACAAGGCGCCGGGACCGGACGGAATTATCCCTGCAATGCTACAGCAGGGCAAGGACCAGCTGGCTCCGTTTATTTGTGGGATATTGAGAGCAAGCCTGGCAACGGGGTACATTCCGGTTGCATGGAAGAGAGCGAGGATCGTCTTCATCCCAAAGCCTGGAAGAGATTACTCTCAGGCTAAGGCGTTCAGGCCGATAACACTATCATCATTCATGTTGAAGGTGATGGAGAAGTTAATTGAAATGCATATCAGGGAAAACTTTCTCATTGAAAGGCCACTACATAAAAACCAGCATGCATATCAATCGGGAAAATCCTGTGAAACGGCACTTCATCAACTGGTGGGGAAACTTGAGGCCGCAATAAGCAACAAGAGCATAGCTCTTGCGGCTTTCCTGGATATTGAAGGGGCATTCGACCACACACCCTTCATATCCATGGTAGCAGCGGTTGTTGGGCGTGGCGTGGAAGACACCACATGTCGGTGGATAAAAAACATGCTACACAACAGAACAGCGGAATCCACATTGCTTGGTGAAACCATGGAGGTGACGATTTCTAGGGGTTGCCCACAGGGAGGAGTTCTTTCTCCCCTGCTGTGG